ACATACTTTGAATGAAGAACTAATATGTCAAACATAAAATTAATACCCATATGCATAAAATCCAAAAGGACACATCAAATATAAACCTTTGGCTCTGATACCACTTGAAGGGAAAATATGAGATTTATGTGGGATTTCTATTGACTAGCATGCATATACAATTCAAAATTTATATACGAAAACAACGGAAGCATGTCATCAATTAATATCAAAGCTCTAGTCATGAAAATCCCCTTCAAGATTCATAGGTTTATTTATGATGCATCAAAAACAATTTATTGAAGAACAAAATTTAGGAGTAGTTTTATACCTCTTGATCTAGATCTTAGACCAAGGATGGACCACCTCCAAGCTCTTTGCTCCTTGAACTCCTTGAGCCTAGCCTCCCTCCTTGCCTCCTCCACTTTGTTGAGAATGAGTGCTCCTAGGTCCTCTTCAAGTTTCCAAAATTGAAAACCTCTAAAGATCCTCACCCACTAGTGTAGTGAGAAGGATGAAGGAATAACCAAAGGGGTGATAAAATGATTAGCTAAAATCCCCTTATGGTGGCCGGCCCTTTGAGTGTTAGAGAGAGTTATTTTCTTTTCTCTTTTGTTGTTTTGAACACAAAAACAACCCCCATTAAACTTTCATTATAAAGTTCCTTTTATAACATAAAGAAACAAGTCAACAATTGACCTTCTCTCTCCCTCTCTTTGGCCGGCCTTCTTAGTGTTGTTTGGGCCTTGGACTTTTATTATTTCAAGTCATCCAATGCTTGAATAAAAGCCCAATGGGTTTAGGCCCAATGGGCCCAATTAAACCCGAACATTTCTTTAAGCCCAAAACGATCTTTTATCGCTTTTATGATTTCTTTAGACTTTCTAAATTAATCACAACACTTAATTAATCCAATTAATTATTTACATCATCCATTAGTTACTCACTACAAGAGTGTATTGGTGAACAATCTTTTAGGTTCTAATTAGCAAGGCAGTGAGGTGATTGGCACCAATCCAATTGATTATATTTAATCCATCCACTTAGTGAATTAAAACTTACTTTTAATTCACCTTCTTCTTTGATGACTACATTTAATCATCTAGAAGAACTCACAAGCCATGAGTGACATCTAAACATATATCATGGCTACCCAAGCTAATGTAGAAGTTTATTCGGAGAACCTATTCAGTTGGAATTACAATGTAATTCAATCCTTCTCTAAAACAATACTCTCAATCACATCACTAGGGTATGGATATACTATGTCAAACCCCTAATGTGATTATGCTTTCTTATATGATTCAATTGAGTCGCATAGGAACGTTTTCCTTCATTACGCTCAAGACTTCGGCCGAAGATTCCCGAATCATATCTCAGAGTATTCTTCCTCTCATAACGAGGATCAGAGATTCCTTGTTGATCATTCACATGCCTACATGTTTAGATACCTTAACCCCAACAATGCCGTGGACACTCCAATGGAATGTCGTTTGACATTATCAAAGATCAAGGACCTAATCATTAGACATCTATGATGCCTTAGGTCAAAGGATTACTTACATTATTCCAACCTTCAGAGTTACTTGCTTGACATGTGAGTAGACCTCCATGCAAGTACTCTCGTTCGATTGTGTTCAGTGAACTCATTCCCTTAATGAGCACCTACATACTTGTCTTAGTGTCACTACACGAATGGGATGAGACTTTCCATCTTTCCATTTGAAGCAGACATAGTATGTACCGGTCTATGCATTGTCAGTATCCCTCCGACAATCCTATGACCAGGAACCTTTTTAGACATAATGGTTATGAGAAGAAGGTCTCTGTAGTCTAATCATCATTAGATTACTTCTTCCATCAATCCATTGTCCATGGATTCATCATTTAGGACATATTTCGTTCATTGAGATAGTCCTAATTAGTATCTTTGCCTTCCGATGTATAAGAGTCATATATACATCATTACATTGTCCTGAAAGGTTTCTTCCAAAGATTGACTTTCAGGGCATATTTCCAACACTTTATGCTGGTCAGAGGTTGGCGAGAAAGTTTTGGTGGGCTCTGAGATAGTGGAGGAGACCATTCAGAATTTTCAGTTGATTAAATCTAACTTGAAAGCGGCCTAGGATCGACGGAAGAGCTTAGCAGATAAACATACCACTGACAGGGTGTATAAAGTGGGTGATTGGGTATTTTTAAAGCTTTCACTATGGAGAGGTGTGGTACGGTTCGGGAAGAAAGGTAAGCTAAGTCCTAGGTACATCGAACCGTATGTGATCACCGAGAAAGTCGGTGAAGTTGCTTACAGGCTTGAGTTGCCTCCAGAGTTGTCTAAAGTGCATGATGTGTTCCATGTTTCCATGCTTCGTCATTATGTTTCAGATCTGTCACAAGTGATACATCCTCAACCTTTGAAAATTAATCCAGATTTGACTTATGATGAGGAGCCAGTGACTATTTTGGAATGGAAATATAAGGTTCTGAGAAATAAGACCATGCGTTTAGTGACAGATTTGTGGAGGAATCACTCAGTGGAGGAAGCTACCTGGGAGACAGAGAAGCGAGAGATGTATCCACGCTTGTTTTATGATTATTAGTGGTTTGTATTTATTGTGTGAATTTTGAGGACGAAATTTTCTTAAGGGGGTAGGTTGTGACAGCCCGTCCTGAATGGGTATATTATTTTATCCTAGATAGCGTGAAATGACTTTTATACCCTTGGACATTAGATGGTGTTGTGTGACATGCATTTTGGTTGTGGTCCAATTCATGTTTTCCTTAGTTTTTGGAACCAATTAGAACTTAGGTTTTATTTTATTTTCTTTTGTTTTGGTTGGTTGCCATCTAGACCACACACACACATCCATACCACTCTCCCGTTGACTCTCTCTCCTCCCTCTTGGATTTTCTTGCCATTTCCGTACAACCCTCAAAACCCATTCAAACATCACGGATCGAGGTCATGAATGGTGTTTTTGGACTCCTTGCAAGCTTAGGAGTCGAATGGTGGTGGTGGTTGGACGTGAAAACCTTGGAAACCCTTGAAACCAGAATTCCCAATTTGGGTTAACTGTTCATGCAGCCGTGATCATGGACTTTTCTTCGAGTTTTAAGGTTCTAGGGAGTTTTAAGATGTCTTCACGAAGCTTGGGGAAGAAAGTTGGAGTGTTTTGGAAGTCGAGAAGCTTAGTTTTGGAGAGTTGCAATGGTGGCCGGATTATCGTGGGTTTTTCTGGCGAGATCCCGTTAGATTTAAGTCCTAAAAGTGGTAAGGTTTTGTTCTACTCGTTGTAAGCTTCGTTTTGGTACAAATTTCATGGATTTTGGTTAAGAAATGAGAAAGATACGAAGGTTTAAAGTTTTTCCAAAAACTGACAGTGGATGGCGACGACTGGCGAGGCTCGTCGGAGAAGGAGACGAATATTACGTCAGAGTTGACAGAATATTCTAACGACGTCGAGTAACGCCGTTAAATTCTGTTAAGGTTTTAACGAAATATTCCTAATTGCCGTTAATTGTTCTGTTAGGGTTGGCCGCAAGTGGGTGGTAAGACAATTTTTCTAAAAATATGGAGATGTTCGTGGTGTTGAGTAGATCACGTTGGTATATTCAAACACCCCATTTGAGCAATGTATGAGAAGTTATTAGCTAGTTTTGTTTATGTGCTTTAAATTAATGTTTGTATAGTTGTTTCGCATATAGGTGAGACCTATCCTCCGGACGAGCGCATTCAATCGAGGCTTGGGGGCTATAACCCTTCCATATACCAGTGGGTGAGCTTTTGGTTTTCTGCATATACCTATATACTTGAGATTTTTCCCAGAAAATTGATTTAAATGAAATTATGTTTAGAAATGCCATGCATATTGATTTACACATAGATCATCATTGAATTAATATAGTATGCATAAATGTGATTTGACATTGTGGACGCTTAGGTAAGTACTAGGTGAGTTGTGGATTGTTTATGTAGTTGATGATTATGTGAGATGTGTTGAGAGCTCATAAACTTGCACCCCAATGTTAGTGCTCCCGCCCTGGTTAAGGCACAGTCCTTCACATGATGTTCACCTCCCACACCATACGCTCACCTTGGATCCAATTTAGGTGCACAGTCTTGCTGTACAAACCACTATAGGTGGTTCCGACTCGTAGGTGACCCGCGATTATTCGCATAGTCTTCACATGATCGTAGCACTTGAGCATATTTACTTACACCTAGTCCTATCATACAGACCACTTTAGGTGGTTTCGACTTGTGTGCAGGTATATTTGTTGAGATGCGGATTTGAGCCGTACAGGTCACGTTAGGTGACTCCAGCTAGATGGATGAGCTCTAAATTCAGCCGTACAGGTCACGTTAGGTGACTCCGGCTGACATATCATTTTGCATTGATTTATATCACCTGACTTACATATTTTTTATGCTGAGATATCTGACATGGTATATATATGAGGATTTTGCTATTCTAAGCATAGTTGTGGTATAGTTATGTATTCTATTTTTTGGGAAATTATACAAGTTTTACGGCGAGGGGTTACTATCTTTGGTAATTGAAATGGTTTTGAAAAGCTTTGTTTTTGCCTACTCACACTTTCTGTCGCCCCTCTAGGTTCTAGTTAGGAGTGCTTTTTGGTGGTTTGCGAGGAATCCACGGCAGCTCTGACAGATTATCACCATTGTATGGTCATCTTTGGGTGTTGTATAATTAGTATTCGTCATGCTAGGCTGCACTTAGGCTACTTATGCTCTGGTTGTGAATTCACACTTAGTTTCGTTTTGCACTTATTCTTATCTAGTGCTCTAGTTAGTTTGGTTTTTATTTATTCGCATTTCTTATATTAATATTGCTTCCGCACTGTGCACATAGCTACGTCACCCTCACGTGACGGCCAGAACACCTTGATTTCGGTCGGGGTGTGTCAATAATACTACATGGCGGTGTCGAGTACACTTTTCTCGGAAGAGAGGTGGGATGACTAGATTGATCTTAAATGCTGGTAGAGAGAGTTGGATTTTGAGGCATTAAAGCGATATCGACTTGCTACCCCTTTAAATGCTTGCCTGCCCTCCTATTAATGAATGCGTGTTTGATGAAGGCAATTTAACAACACTCTTTAAGTAGACAAGCACACTTTGCATGACTCCTGCAATCCAAACTACACCATTTATATGATCTACTTACACTTTCTCCTTCGTGTATCCAAACTTTCCTCAATTATTAGCTATAGATATTCTCTTCTCTTTTTTACTTTTTCTTTTTCTTCTTCTCGTTAATTTGTTCCTTCTCACTGTTTTATTTCCAGTTCGTATATCAAATTCTAGGTGTTTATTTATTTATTTTTTTTTTTTTTTTTTTTCGGGAAATGGAACCTCCAGAGCTCTCTTTGGGTCCAACACAGTTGTTTTTAATAAAACAAGTAGTAGAAGTCCACTGGAATCTGCAGAAAGCAATACTTGTAGAAAGAGGAAGTTTTTACAAGATCACCACCTGAAGAGTACTGCTCCATCTCTGTCACTTCAAACAAGTGTTGATCTTCAACTTAAAGATCCCCTTCCATTGGATTGGGAGCAGTGCCTTGATCTTGATGTATCTCTCTCTCTCTCTCTCTCTCTCTCTCTCTCTCTCTCTCTCTCTCTCTGTGTATGATTTTTACGATAAATTTGCATAAAACAACGCCTTAACTATTAGAAGTACACGCAAATATATATCACTCAAACATTTTCTTAATTAAGATAATTTGTTTGTCTGATTAATTTTCGTACTTGAAATTGTTTGGTACGTACTTCTTGTTTGGCATGAAACGCAGACAGGCAAAATGTACTATCTGAACAGAAAGACCTCGAGAAAGAGTTGGAACTGGCCTATGAACCAGGCACCTGTGAACCTTGAGCTCAACAACCCTCTCCGATTCGAGTTCTGATTCACGATCCATCCGAAGCTCTGAGGCAATCGAAGAGGCCAAGAATAAGAAAGTACAATGTTCGTCAGGCAGCAGAGACAGTAGTACCAACAACATGGTGGCTTTGGCTTGCATGAAATGCCATCTCCTTGTTATTCTTTCCAAGTCTTCTCCTTGTTGCCCCAACTGCAAATATGTCCACTCACTTTAAACTTCCAACCAAACCCTCCAAAATCTCATCAAGTTTTTAATCAACCATTATTCTTATGCTTTTTTCAATAGCCTAGAAAACTGAACATGATCTACAAATTTGGCTATGCAAATTCCTTCTGCCATGTTTGGGTTTCATTATGCTGTAATCTGGTTTAGATGAGTAAATATAATATCTCCATGTGAAGCCATTCTTGTGTAATTTTTAGTTTTTGGTTTTTGTTATGCTGACCCTTGTTTGGGACGAGTAAATCCAAAGTTCGACTTGATTTAGCCAGGTCCTTGTGCGTTTAAAGTTTCACGGTACTTATCGCTACATTTTTTCTGGAGAGCACTACCAAATTTGACGGAGGAATTTAAAAATACTAGATCCAACCCATTTGAGGCAACTTTCAAATGAAACCATGAAATATACTTCAGTTTGAAGATCTTTTTATTACAGTAGAGTGTTCATCACTCCTCCTTAGTTTACGTTCTTGTATATCAAGTTAATTACGATTGCGATCCCTTTAGGCTTCCATCCACATTTGGGCTTAACTCAACCTTATATATTGACTATAACTTTTATACATTAACTTAATACGAGAACGTAGATTTCAACATGTTTATTAGAACTTCAATTTCCTTTATGGTATCAAAGCAAGTTGAGCCACAAGTGAAGCCAAACTATCACACGTGCACCACAGCGCTTAATTTGTGTTATCCTTGTGTTAGGGTTGAGGATGTGAAGAAATGTCTCAGATCAAAAGTTTATTAAATCTTGCACTAAAAACTTTGATTATTCTCCATATTATCAATTACTTTTATAATAGAACCTCTGTAACACCCCGACTTAGAGTAGTTTTGATGTATGTGTATTTAATTCTTCTATTTTGGTGTTGATTATGGATTAGTTAAAGTCACGCTCTTTTTCAAGTAACTTGAGTGGAAAGATAAATCATTTATGTAATTGTTTGATTTTGTAACCAAGAAGATGAGGTCGTGTGAGAGAGGGTTTGATGGCTCAGGTTCGAGTTCTGTCAAGAAACTTGCACCATTTTTTTTTTCTTTTTTTTTTTGAAAAGGAGATTGTAGCAATTTTTATTCATAGAATTAATGATGCATACAATAAAAAAGGAGGGCATCCTGAATAGGGGTCGGAGGCACCTCAAACCAATGACTAGAGACAAAAGAAATTAAGGCCAATTTGGCCAAATTATGCACCGCTAAATTGGCGAAATGACTTATGTGTGTTCGGGCAGGAATTTCGTTGGGAAGGGTCCCTGACTCGAGCACATAGCTCCTTGAGGAGTTGGCACTTTGGTTGTTTGTCGACCTCCTGCTTGTCAGGATGCTGCAAGAGGAGGACACAGTTAATTCTGAAAATGTGCATTTGTGGGGCCTTAGGTGTAGGCCTTGAGGCTTGCAATCAAAACTAACTGAGTGCGAAGGTGTGCCACTACCATCTCTGGATGACAGACATAGAACAAGTGTATTTAAGCCTATTACTTGCGCCCTAAGTTATTCTGATTTCTTGTTATCAAAGGATTGTCGTGGATGGGTTAAGTCCACATGCCTTGAGACCAAGGACTTTTAGTTCGTTATCTTGTATGCTTAAAGGGTGAAGGTCTAGATCGGATTAAGTCATCAGTTTAATCTATTTCAATCTTCCTATGATGATAAAACCATTAAATGAACCAGATCTGAGAACTGATGAGGCTTTGAGTCATCAAAAGATTGGAAACAACTTGAATATAAACTGTGGAATGCATTATAACACTAGATCTATTTATTGAAAGACAAAAAGAAGAGAGTCGGGCAAGATTTCACCTTGTTGGGCAAGGTTAAACGTCTTGCGGTCTTTTCTTTTGGCAGTTATGAAAGGATTGTATGTTAAAGGGGATGACTGGAAAAGAGTTTATACATGGGAGATCGATACTACAACATTTAGGAAAAGGTAGCAGAGCTTTTACATAGACAAAGGATGTCTTTCTAAGGAAATCTAAAGCTAAAAGGGTGCAAAGTCTGGATAAAGCACGACTTTTTGGGTATTTGCTTGACTGAGAGGCAAGTTGTATATTTGTTTGTTTGATTGGTTGAGTGTCCTTGTCTTTGGGCCCTCTTCCTCCTTTTATAGACGAATTAACCCGACTGCTTGTAGTTTTGTTCTTGCCCGAAAGCAATTGAAGGGTAGTGACTCATCAATATTATACTTGTATTGCCATTGAAAAGTACTTTTCGGCTGATAGTAGGTTGATTTCCATCAGTTGTCACTTCTCTTGTAAGCACCTAGCCTTCGCATTAATGGGGCAGCGCCAATTGGTCTTGAGATGGACAGTCTGGGTTTGGTGCTAGGCTCCAGGCAAAACCTCTTCTTATTGAACTCTTTTGGGCTTTCTCTCCTCTAAGCCCAAAGTTAAATATTAACCTAAACAATGTGACTAACTCTCACAATGGAGAAATTTCACAAGCTAACTTTAACATCCTCAATTTGTGAACCCGCAGCAGAAAGACCACTGCTAGAGCTATTAATAGCTTGGACCACTTGTAATGCATCACATTCTAGAACAATGTGTTGCCATTGTTGTTAGACCGCTAGACACAGACCCTCACGAGTAGCTAGGATCTCCATAGTGTGGGGGTCAATCGCGTTGGGAATTTTGCAAACGAAACCTCCAACATAGCTACCGACTTTGTGGCAAAAAACCACACCGATACCCCCACTTTTTGAATTTGCACAGAAGGAAGCATGAACGTTAATCTTGATCCAATTCGGCGGAGGTAGAGTCCAAAGAGAAGGAGAAAGCAGCAGGCAGGAAGTGTGGGACGACTGAGCATTCACAAAATCAAAGAGAAATAAGCCAGCCATCTTACTAACTACCATGGCGTTCTCTTGTTTGTTGTCCCATAAGAGGCTATTCCTTGCTCGCTAGATAGAGTAAATAATAGTAAGAGGAAGATCAAATTGCCCTTAAGAAAGAGCAGCAGCACGATGCTAACCCATTCCAAAAAGGAGGAGAAATTCGCACTACCTGGTCCAAGCCCAATGTTGGTAGAGGAACAAACGGCTCTTGCGAAATGACATTTAGTAAACACATGTAGCGCCAACTCCGGAGAGGAACTACACAAAACACAAATGTCATACACCGCAATACCTTTTTTAGCCAAGCAAGAACATGTGCGGAGAATAGCCTGGGAGACTCGCCATACACACAGTTTTACCTTGTTGGGGACCATGGCTTTCCAAATAAAATTCCAAGAAGAGTGCGAAGGTCCCTCTATTGAAGAAGACGATTGATCATCCAAAGCATAGGCAACCTTGTAGGCATTTTTGACAGAAAAAATGGCTTTTGGATCATAATGCCACACCAATTGGTCAGGAGGCAGTCTTGAGCTTAATGGGATAGATAGGATTATCGAAGCCTCAGTAGGCAGGAAGATCTCCAAGATCAAATTAGTATTCCACACAGCTAAAGGATGAATAATCAGGGAGGAAACCAAATCAAACTCACAGTTAGGTGGAGGAAGTGAGAAAGGCCAATATAAGTGCGGTCGCTCCAACCACCTGTCTTTCCAAATGCGAGTTGATAAACCATCACCAGGCTGCTATCTAGACCCCCGTTCGAGAATAATGGGAGCCTCCGTAATCCCTCGCCAGCAAGGTGACGAGCTAGCACCCACCGTTGCGTCCCATAAACTATTGTGAGAGAAATATTTAGCTTTCAGAAGCTGAGAAGAGAGCGAATCCAGATTATGGAGCAGCCTCCAACCCTTTTTAGCAAAAAGAGAGAGGGGTTGAAATTACAAAGACTAAAAGCCCAATCCACCCTCACACTTTAGCTTTCACTTATTCTCCCATGAAAACCAATGGATGTGTTTAGAATCCTCCAGATCCCCCTATAAGAAACGATAGAAAAGTCGTTGTAGGTCATTGCAGAAGGTTTTAGGCAAGAGAAAGAAGTTTATCATGTAGGTGGGAAGAGCTTGACCCACCACTTTGATAAAGATCTCTTTACCCGCAGCACTAAGTAATTTGTCCTTCTAACCTTTTAACATTTTCCACAACCAATCCTTTATATAAGCAAACCATTCAAAGCGGTTGGGCCTGATGACAATTGGGAGCCCCAGATACTTGTCTTGGACGTCAACCCGAGGCACACCCGAAAACGAAGCAAGCTAATCTCAAATTAGAAAGATGAAGGGAAGGCGGGGGATGAATTGGGAAGAAATTCGGCTGGATTGTAGTTGGTCTAATTATGTTTCTGAAGGTAGGTTTTGGAGCTTAAGAACATATAAACAACTGAAGCAAACAACCTTAATTACCTATATTTTACATAAAAATATAGGTAAATTATTTGCGCACACATATATAATAAAAACAAAATATGTCTAATACATACATTCAAAGTAATTTTACCTACAATGATTGTCAGACAGATAACAGAAATGGAACAAATGATGGTAAGACAAGTATAAAGTAGATACTTTTGCAATAATAAGGCACTTATTTGCCTTATGTTGGATAATTAAATTCATTAACATAATTAGGCTGTTGTGGCACAATTGTAAATATTTTGAAAATAATAGGTATTTATTTGTTGCCATTTAGTACTATGGTCTAGTGGTATTCCTCTTTCCTTGTAAGTGAGAGGTCTTAGGTTCTATTCTCATCAAAGACGAATTTGAACCACTTTATTGCTAGCACATTGTGAAGCTAAACTCACCCATTCCCCGTTAGTGTAGATAATATCGTTTCTTCAAAAAAAAAAAAAAAAAAAAAGAAGGTATTTATTTGTTTACGTGGCAGTCTAGTTTAGATTTGAGTTTTATTTGGATGTCTAAAACGAGATGGGTTTTAATAAAGGAAATGAGTGTTGCATGGGCTTATATCTAAAGAGCTCTTTCTTTTATGTTTAATCTTGAAGAAAAACCCTAGAGATTTGACAATAAAAAACCCAAGAGAGAGACATAGGTTGCTTGGACAACAGTAGACCTAGCATTTGTGTCATGTTTTCTGTGTTTGTGTCATACCCGATATCTTAACGGATCATGTCGTGTAACACCCGTTAAAATAAATGGGTAAAATGACCCGAACCGATAATTGTCACATCCCAGTCTCAGGCCCCCACCACGTCTCGGGATCGACTTCACTGTAGAACGATATTGTCCACTTTGGGCCCCGACCACTCCCTCACAGTTTTGTTTCTGGGAACTCACACGAGAACTTCCCAATGGGTCACCCATCCTAGGATTGCTCTCGCGCAAACTGGCTTAACTTCGGAGTTCCGATAGAACC